GTGTGTGAGAGTGTGTGTGAGAGAGCAATGTGTGTGTGTGTGTGTGTGTGTGTGTGTGTGTGTGTGTGTGTGTGTGTGTGTGTGTGTCTGTGTGTGTGCAGCTCCTTCACCATGACGGCTCTGTGGCTCCAGTCCGTGTCCCTGCTGGTTCTGGTGCTGGTCTCTCTGCCGGGCTCCCGGGCCGCTCCGGGCCCTCAGCACCTGTGTGGGTCTCACCTGGTGGACGCCCTGTACCTGGTCTGTGGGGAACGAGGCTTCTTCTACAACCCCAAGAGAGACGTGAACCCCCTGATGGGTGAGACCCCTAAAAACATCCTGTATCACTACAAATACAAAGTGCACTGTAATGAGTCACAGTGAGGATTGAAGTTGTTGTTTTAAATTACTAATTTCTTTCAAGAAAGTGCCTTCTATTGAATAAAAGGTATTATTTGATTGGATTATAATGTGTTAGCAGTTGTTTTGAGTCTATTGTGTAGTCATGTAGTCCATTTGTAGTGGTGTTGTGTATCTTAAGTACTCTTACATCTTTTCCGTGTGTCTCTGTAGACATGTTTACTCTTTTTAAATCAGATTTTTGGGACGATTTAAGCTTTATGAAAAAATCAAACCAGGATCAAAGTTGCACAGTGACATGAACACAAAGGTTAAATCCTCGACCCCTCGTCTGTTTCCCGCCAGGTTTCCTCCCCCCGAAGGCGGCTGGAGAAAACGAGGTGGCAGAGTTCGGCTTCAAGGACCAGATGGAGCTGATGGTGAAGCGCGGCATCGTGGAGCAGTGCTGCCACCAGCCCTGCAACATCTTCGACCTGCAGAACTACTGCAACTGAACCACTCTGTGTAGCCTAGCTTAGCATCTCAGCTAACGCTCTGAAAACTAACCACCCCCACCCCCACCCCCCGAAAAGGATGAAATTATTTTTCCTAGAAAATAAAGTTTTGTGAATTAAGAAAACTCTGGGTTTTTTATTAACGTGATTTTATTACTGCCTTCACTTTCATTGTATTGTTATAATATCATTTTTTTTGTTAAATTTTAATTGAATTAAAATTAAAATTATTATATAATTTACCTATTTTTTTTTTACTGTTTGTTATCAATATTTTATTATAATTTGTATTTAACTTACTTTATATAGACCCTTTTATTATTATTAGAAGAAGGCTATTGATATTATATAATTACTTTATTTATACAGTTTCATAGCAAAAAATCTAAGCAAGAGATATTTTAAAATAGTTAAAAATACGGATGTGATTATATGAATGAAACCTAATTATTTAAATATGTATCTATGCATTAATGTCTTCAGCACGCTAATGTTGCAGGTGGTAGGATAATACATAAAAAGCAAAACAAAATAAAATGTAATTAATTAATGAGCGCTAAAAGTAAATACGTATAATACCTCATAAAAAACAACAAGCTAGATTAGTTTTAAATGCAATATAAAAACAAATATTTGTTTTAGAAGGTGTCGCTTACTTTAAGACAAATGTCTAGCTTTTGACATTTTCAAAAAAAACAAGTACTTTCAATAATACATTATATATTATTAGTTTAGTATGGTTTGTATTATAAATCAGACGAGTTAACGTTACAAAAGCGGTTACATAAATAGTACAAAAATACAATATTTACCTCTTGGATGTAGTGGAATAAAAGTCACAAAACAAAATCCAGTTTAATATTTGTAAATTACATTTTTTAATATAATGTTTCCCACCTGTAGGGGGGCATTTGATTGTTGAAACCTGCTGCTCCCGGCGGGGCGGTGCAGGGCGGGGTCAGGTGTCGCTTTGTTTACTAATCCTCCTCTCTGCAGAATCACTTTTCACCGGGACTAGAGATTCTTTAAGTCCGGTGGAGAGCAGCCTCAGCCGGCCTCATGCACAGGAGCTGCTCGGTGCTCTTCACGGTTCTTTCCCCCGGAGTTTCTGCTGAGAGTTTGCCCGGAAAGAAGCAACGCGATGCGGGATGTTCACCTGGACAACGAGACCTGCAGGAACGGTGAAACTCACTTCTCTTCTTGATCCGTTAATAGAGTTTCTGCCTCTTTATCTCACTAAGGGAACTGTTTGCGACCGTGTTTAAAGCTACATTTTCCCAGTTTAACATGTATTGTATTACTATTTAGGGTTATTAAATACAGTGGCGTCATGTAAAGAAATACATTTACTCAAGTGCTGTAGGCTACATAAGTATAATTTAGAGGTATAGCCTACTTTATACTGTACTTCTACTCCTACTTTTCTGTTGGTAGCCTTCTATAAGTATATTTTGAGGCCAATACTTTTGTAGTTTTATTTGAGTAACATTTTTGAATATAGGACTTTTACTGTAACAGTCTTTTTTTGTTGACTAAGTCTGTGCACACACTGAAAACATTTTTCAAAAATTGTTCAAATACCCCGAGGCTGGCAATTAATTGGTTATATGTAATAGGGAGAAGACTCTTTAAAGTAGTGACACTATACTGATATACACCTGAACATCAGCAGGAGAGGACTCTTTAAAGTAGAGACACTACATACTGATATACACCTGAACATCAGCAGGAGAGGACTCTTTAAAGTAGAGACACTACATACTGATATACACCTGAACATCAGCAGGAGAGGACTCTTTAAAGTAGAGACACTACATACTGATATGCACCTGAACATCAGCAGGAGAGGACTCTTTAAAGTAGACACTACATACTGATATACACCTGAACATCAGCAGGAGAGGACTCTTTAAAGTAGAGACACTACATACTGATATATAACATCAGCAACATAATAATAGTAGTTCAATAAATGTATTAGAGCGGTTTTCCGAGTGCTCAAAGCGCTTAAATTACATTTGACACATACCAGACCACATGTAACAGTGAATACGATCGACAATACCCACAGGAGCAAATTAAAGCCCCTTTAATCGTATTCCCTCGATATCAAAGTATTTATCAGACGTGAAACATTTCCCTCCGTCAGTGAGCACAGGGCCTCCGTGTTTGCAGAGTAAATATTAATTTTCTCCTCTTTGTTATGCCAGCTCTCCTCATCAGGTTACTCTGAGTCTGTGGTCAAACCAGTATTACTCAACTCTGAACACACACACACACACACACACACACACACACACACACACACACACACACACACACACACACACACACACACACACACACACACACACTTTTGTCCAAATTAGATAATATTTATGCACAATTGTTCTGCTATGTGGATTATTATGTATTTAAGGAAAGTCAGATCTAACCATCTAAGGATAGATTTAAAGAGCCTGTGACAGCATCCCAACAACTGTTGTGCAATGAAATAGTGGGCTACTAGTAATCTCGAACCGTCAGTTTAAAAAAGAAAAAGCGATACCGTTCCGAGAAATATCAATAATTTCGAACATCGCGGGAAAATTCCTTCGACTCATTTTGAAGTTTTGGGGGAAGCCGGAAGTGACGTCAATGCGGGAACGCTTCACTGTGCGGCGAGAGAACCAAACACGGACAAAGTGTGTTGTCATGCGTAGAAATGGTGAATTACTGAGTTTAGGCACGTTCATAACGTTTTAATGAAGTTGACTACAGTATATTCATATTTCTCAGTGCTTTCATGTCAATTCGGCGAACATAAACATAAATGATCGTGGTGAATGATTAAATTAGGATTAAAAATCGGTAGTGAGAGCTGCTGAATTTCCTCCCGTCGGATGTGATATAAAAACAAATCGATTATTTTTGTAAACTCAAGTGGATGAAACTACATTTATTAGTGCTTTCATGTCAATTCGGCGAACATATGACACATTAAATGCTCGTGAGGATGATGATTTAAAAATCTTTTGTTTGAGCCGGTCTGCATTTCCTGATGAGAAAACAAACCGATGCTTTTTGTAGTTGTAGTACAGTGGTGTAGTGGGCGTTGGACGCGGGGGTACGCCGTACCCCCACTTATTTGAAGCATGATTTCTTTTTTTTAATAGTCTAATACATCTAAAATCATTGCCAGTGTTATCAGTTGCAAGTGTGTGTTTGTTGTAATAATGACGAAAACATAATAGGCAGATTTCACAGTAATTATAATAAAAACGTAGCTCAAGCATTTATGCAACTTGATTTGAAGCGTGGGTGTGTGAGAGGGGCAGAACTGTGTGTGTAGGGTGACCAGGTGTCCCGCACTGTGCGGG